AACGGTGGAAATCTCTCCTTTGGTCTGATGAGTCCAAATTTGAGATTTTTCGTTCCAACTGCCGTGTCTTTGTGAGACGCAGAGTAGGGGAACGGATGATCTCCGCATGTGAGATGGCGCCGGAGAAAATGGCTGCCGTTTTACAGCCCTCTAACCAATTGTACTATTATGTGTGTTTTTTCGCGTTATTTGTAATTTATTCTGTACATAATGTTTCTACCATTGTCTCTTATAACCAAAAAGAGCTTCTGGATATCAGGACAGCGATTACTCACCTCGTATTGGACAACTCTGTGTTGTTTTTATTGCACTACTTTGCTTTATCTTGGCCAGGTCGCAGTTGTAAATGAGAACCTGTTCTCAACTGGCTTACCTGGTTAAATAAAGGTGAAATAAAAATTTAAAAAAGATTGTTTCTTCAACGAGTCGGATGCGAAGGATATCCTACAGACACCCGACAAGGCCCAAATTCCCGTCATTCGCAGGAGAAAGAGACGGAGATATCATGGACGTAGGTCAGGGTGCCTTGTAAGGATCCGACTGCGAGTGAGTAAACTGCCTCTTCCATCAATCCTATTAGCCAATGTTAAATCATTTGAAAATAAATGAGATGACCTACGATTACGGTTATCCTACCAATGGGACATTAAAAACTGTAATATCTTATGTTTCACCGAGTCATGGCTGAACGACGACATGGACAACATACAGCTGACGGGATATACGCTACATCGGCAGGATAGAACGGCTGACTCCGGTAAGACAAGGGGTGGCGGTCTGTGTATATTTGTAAACAACAGCTGGTGCACAAAATCAAATACTAAGGAAGTCTCAAGGTTTTGCTCGCCTGAGGTAGAGTATCTTATGATAAGCTGTAGACCACACTATTTACCAAGAGAGTTTCATCTATATTTTTCATAGCTGTCTATTTACCACCACAAATCAATGCTGGCATTAAGATTGCACTCAATGAGCTGTATATGGCCATAAGTAAACAGGAAAACGCTCATCCAGAGGCAACGCTCCTAGTGGCCGGGGACTTTAATGCAGGGAAACTTAAATCCATACTACCTAATTTCTACCAGCATGTTAAATGTGCATCCAGAGGAAAAAAACTCTAGACCACCTTTACTCCACACACAGAGACGCATACAAAGTTCTCCCTCGCCCTCCATTTGGCAAATCTGACCATAACTCTATCCTCCTGATTCCTGCTTATAAGCAAAAACTAAAGCAGGAAGCACCAGTGACTCAGTTAATAAAAAAGTGGTCAGATGACGCAGATGCTAAGCTACAGGACTGTTTTGCTAGCACAGACTGGAACATGTTCCGGGATTCTTCAGATAGCATTGAGGAGTACACCACATCAGTCACTGGCTTCATCAATAAGTGCATCAATGACGTCATCCCCACAGTGAACGTACGTACATACCCCAACCTGAAGCCATGGATTACAGGCAACATCCGCACTGAGCTAAAGGGTAGAGCTGCCGCTTTCAAGGAGCTTATAAGAAATCCCGCTATGCCCTCCGACGAACCATCAAACAGGCAAAGAGTCAATACAGGACTAAGATTGAATCATAGCCGATGTGAGTAAGAATTTTAAGCAGGTCAACATTCACAAGGCCGCAAGGCCAGACGGATTACCAGGACGTGTACTCCGAGCATGTGCTGACCAACTGGCAAGGGTCTTCACTGACATTTTCAAAATGTCCCTGAGTCTGTAATACCAACATGTTTCAAGCAGACCATCATAGTCCCCGTGCCCAAGGACACTAAGATAACCTGCCTAAATGACTACCGACCCATAGCACTGACGTCTGTAGCCATGAAGTGCTTTGAAAGGCTGGTCATGGCTCACATCAACACCATTATCCCAGAAACCCTAGGCCCACTCAATTTGCATACCGCCCCAACAGATCCACAAATGATGCAATCTCTATTGCACTCCACACTGCCCTTTCCCACCTGGACAAGAGGAAAACCTATGTGAGAATGCTATTCATTGACTACAGCTCAGCGTTCAACACCATAGTGCCCTCAAAGCTCATCACTAAGCTAAGGATCCTGGGACTAAACACCTCCCTCTGCAACTGGATCCTGGACTTCCTGACAGGCCGCCCCCAGGTGGTAAGGGTAGGTAACAACACATCTGCCACGCTGATCCTCAACACGGGGGCCCCTCAGGGGTGCGTGCTCAGTCCCCTCCTGTACTCCCTGTTCACCCATGACTGCATGGCCAGGCACAACTCCAACACCATCATTAAGTTTGCCAACGACACAACAGTGGTAGGCCTGATCACCGACAACGATGAGACATCCTATAGGGAGGAGGTCAGAGACCTGGCCGTGTGGTGCCAGGATGACAACCTCTCCCTCAGTGTGATCAAGACAAAGGAGTTGATTGTGGACTACAGGAAAAAAAAGAGGACTGAGCACGCCCCCATTCTCATCGACGGGGCTGTAGTGGAACAGGTTGAGAGCTTCAAGTTCCTTGGTGTCCACGTCACTAACAAACTATCATGGTCCAAACACACCAAGACAGTTGTGAAGAGGGCACAACAAAGCCTATTCCCCCTCAGGAGACTGAAAAGATTTGGCATGGGTCCTCAGATCATCAAAAAGTTCTACAGCTGCACCATCGAGAGCATCCTGACTGGTTGCATCACCGCCTGGTATGGCAACTGCTTGGCCTCCGACCGCAAGGCACTACAGAGGGTAGTGCGTACGGCCCAGTACATCACTCGGGCCAAGCTTCCTGCCATCCAGGACCTCTATACCAGGCGGTGTCAGACGAAGGCCCTCAAAATTGTCAAAGACTCCAGCCACCCTAGTTATAGACTGTTATCTCTGCTACCGCATGGCAAGCGGTACCGGAGCGCCAAGTCTAGGTCCAAAAGGCTTCTCAACAGCTTCTACCCCCAAGCCATAAGACTCTTGAACAGCTAATCATGGCTACCCGGACTATTTGCACTGCCCCCCCCACCCCCACCCCATCTTTTTACGCTGCTGCTACTCTGTTAATTATTTATGCATAGTCACTTTAACACTACCCACATGTACATATTACCTCAACTACCTCAACTAGCCAGTGCCCCCGCACATTGACTCTGCACCGGTACCTCCCTGTATATAGCCTCCCTACTGTTTTTTATTTTACTTCTGCTCTTTTTTTCTCAACACTTTTTTGTTGTTGTTTTATTTTACTTTATTTTATTAAAAAATAAATGCATTGTTGGTTAAGGGCTGTAAGTTAGCATTTCACGGTAATGTCTACACCTGTTGTATTCGGCGCATGTGGCAAATTTGATTTGATTTGTGTGGTTCCCACCGTGAAGCATGGAGGAGGAGGTGTGATGTTTGGGGGTGCTTTGCTGGTGACACTGTCTGTGATTTATTTAGAATATAAGGCATACTTAACCAGCATGGCTACCACAGCATTCTGAAGCGATACGCCATTCCATCTGGTTTGCGCTTAGTGGGACTATAATTTCTTTTTCAACAGGACAATGACCCAACACACCTCCAGGCTGTGTAAGGGCTATTTGACCAAGAAGGAGAATGATGGAGTGCTGCATCAGATGACCTGGCCTCCACAATCACCCAACCTCAACCCAATTGAGATGGTTTGGGATGAGTTGGACCGCAGAGTGGAGGAAAAGCAGCCAACAAGTGCTCATCATATTTGGGAACTCCTTCAAGACTGTTGGAAAAGTATTCCAGGTGAAGCTGGTTGAGAGAATGCCAAGAGTGTGCAAAGCTGTCATCAAGGCAAAGGGTGGCTACTTTGAAGAATTTTAAATATAAAATATATTTTGATTTGTTTAACATGTTTTGGTTACTACATGATTCCATGTGTTATTTCATAGTTTTGATGTCTTCACTATTATTCTACAATGTAGAAAATTGTAAAAATAAAGAAAAACCCTTGAATGAGTAGGTGTGTCCAAACCTTTGACTGGTACTGTATGTGGCAACAAATTCCATCATCAGATAATTATACTGAACAAAAATATAAACGCAACATGCTACAATTTCAAGGATTTTACTGAGTTACAGTTCATATAATGAAATCTGTTAATTGTAATGAATTCATTAGGCTCTAATCTATGGATTTCACAGGACTGGGCAGGGGTGCAGCCATGTGTGGGGGGAGCCAGAATCAGAATGAGCCCCCCCCCCCCAGACGATCCGACAGGTGAAGAAGACGGATGTGGAGGTCCTGGAATGGCGTGGTTACACGTAGTCTGCGGTTGTGAGGCTGGTTAGACGTACTGCCAAATTCTCTAAATGACGTTGGAGGTGGCTTATGGTAGAGCAATTAACACCAGAGCTGGCTGGTGGACATTCCTGCAGTCAGCATGCCAATTGTACCACCCTCAAAACTTGAGACATCTGTGGCATTGTGTTGTGCAAAAAACTGCATATTTAAAGTGGCCTTTTATTGTCCCTAGCACAAGGTGCACCCGTGTAATGATCATGCTGTTTAATCAGCTTCTTGATATGCCACACTTGTCAGGTGGATGGATTATCTTGGCAAAGGAGAAATGCTCATTAACAGGGATATAAACAAGTTTGTGCACACAATTTGAGATAAATAAGCTTTTTGTGTGTATGGAAAGTTTTGGGGATTTTTAATTTTTTCAGCTCATGAAACATGGGACCAACACTTTACATTTCGCGTTCATGTTTTTGTTCAGTATAATTCAATTGACACTCGGCTGCAATGGACTGTGTGCATCTGACCTACAGGTTGAGAGATGATTCAGACAAAATCCTAGGTGCTGTTGTTTTTTGGAGGGGAAAGGCTGAAAATCATTTTGGTGGAAGAAAATCTACGTGCATGAATCCAGGCAATGTCGGGCTCGGGGCAAAGACACGTCTTTCTAAACTGAAATGATCTGTGGCTGTTCAGGCAGCTAAGCGATCCCAACTAAAATGGAGTAACGTTTTCACCTTCACCAACATGGCAGACGTATATACTCATTTTCTCCAATCACATGGCAGGGTTCTCCTCGGGGAGCACATCCGGTGGCGTTTCCTGTGTTTGTAAACTGAAAGAAATTGGAACGCAGGCCACGGGCGTCGAACCACGAAAAACGAGGAAAATTAAAAGGTAAACACCCAAAAACTACGTTTGAATATCACAAATGGTTTGATTTATTGTATGTTTAGTCGTGTATCAGACGATATTTGAAAAATTCGGCCTCCGTCTCTAAGCAAAAAAAGGAGTGACTGACACGGCTTGTGTTAGCTTGACAACAGGGGAGGGGGAGTACGAATCGACCATCACGAATGAATGTCTTTATCGGGAAATCTTGCTGTACTAGCTGCTTAGTCGTTTTGAGGCTCGTCTGATCGGAATCCTCAAACTGTTGTTTTATCTAGCTGGCTGTATTTATCCGGATCTAATCATATAAAAATTGCCTAACGATATCATATTTCGATATGTTGATGGATGGCAACTGAAGTTAGTAAGATGTGATGATGTGCGTGGAGGCCACTACTAACTAACGTTAGCTACGTCGTTATTAGCTAGCTATCTGTTTCGGGCTAGCGGTTAACGGTGTTCTTAGCCGCTCGATGTTTTGTGTCTGAGTTATGATTACATTAACATTTTAGTCACATAACAGACGCTCTCATCCAGAACGATTTACAATTAGTCCATTCATCTTAAAATCATTTTAAGATTATGAGATAATCTTACGATGATAAGGAATGCCTTTTAATTGTTGGGTTAAGTCATTTAAATATAACTTCAAGTAGTTAACTTAATGTTTAGTATTTATACCGTTGCAGGCTAACTAGCAAACGTTAGCTAGTTAGCTAACCAGCTAAGTTGATTAAATATATATTTCACTGTAAGTTACTACTTGATGGTCCATTGCCTTGCTACACTCGCTAGTTATTTCGTTAACTTCGCTAGCTACATCAGTAGCTAGCTACATCCAGGGGAAATTGCTCATATTTGCAAAGATAACCAGCCACGCTAGTGTATCAAACGGTTGCGGCTGCATGTAATGTTAGCTAGCTATGGGGTTGCTAAAAGATAGATTTAGGTTTCCCGTGGATCATTATTTAGCCAGAGCCATATTATATGACTATTATTATATGCCATATATTTAGTTAGCTAGAGTTATTCCAAATTCCAAAAGTTGACCTACCTAAATACATTGATCTGCCTGGCCATAGCCATTAACTTGCCAATGTGGGTGCCATTGGTTTTATTTGTAAAATGATTTTCAGCTGTAAGGCTATTCCCAATCATGTTAGGTTAACCTATCTACAGTATCAGCCTTTTGTCCCAAATTCATGGTAGCTAGCTATATTGGTTATAGTTCTCATACCTGTTCGCTAGCTAGCTAACGTTAGCTATATGTTTATGTACACAATTGGTATTGTGCAGTATTGGAATTGGGTGCCTGGCTGAATTGCTTGACCATCCCATTTTGGATATTAGCTAGATGTGTTGAAATAATGTGACCTTTGTTTGGGGCTTGTAGGAGCGGCTCTTTCAGAATCTTATTTAATAGCTAGCTAAGTGACCTGATGACAGCAAATGGCCATATACAGTTATTATGGAGATGCTTGTTTTTGAGTAATAATTGGGTTTTGTGTGATTGGAGCTGTTACAATCTGTGACTCACTGCTGGTTTTAGCATTTAAAAATAATTTCATTATTATTGGATGTATTTTCATATTTTGTCCACATCCTCCTCTTCCTCAGTTTTAGTGCTAGATGAGTGAGGTGGGTGTGGCCCCCCGTCAGATTGACCATCCTGATTGACGGATCCCTGGATGACCTTGTCCCCGCCCCCATCCCCGCCCTCACATACACCGTTCCCACTGCAATGTCACACCTGCCCAGCAGCTCAGTCCGCGACCATATGAAATGGGTTTGTTTTCCAACAAAAATTATAATGATAAAATGGCTACAAACAACATGCCTATTATTAGGCAACATTATACAGTATTTTTTGTCACTCAGGATGTGGTCGTCATTAAATGTCAAGTGTTTCATATTTTTTTTAAAGTCTGTTTTATCATTGGGTTTCATACCGTTTCTGGTGTAACTGTAACTTGGCCTCTGACAGTCTTTGAGTGTTTGTCTTCTCATTTGTTTAGCTCCTCTCTGCACCCAGACTGGTTCTGTTTGATATATTTTCTAAATGTCTGATTTCTACTGATTTCCCTGACTCGGGCTGGGTTCTGTTCCCAGGCGGGGTTGCTTGGCTGTGAGGCTGTTCTCTCCAGTATGGCCCTGATGCAGGCCAGCTCCATGGCCGGTCCGCCCAAGAAGATGATGGCTCCGCTCGGCCATGGTCCACCACCCCAGAGGGATGGCTCAGACCGCGGTCCTCAGAGCCACATGATCCTGCCATCTGGAATGAGCTGTCCACCCCTGGTTAGGAGGAGCTGGGGCAATGCAGAGGGAGAGGAGGGAGCTTTGTTGTTTATCATTGTTACCCACTGAAAGAACAACAAATGAGAAATTGACATATTTCGCATTGGCTAGGTCTCAGCAGTAACTTACTGTGGGATGCTAATATGCCTAAATAAGTCTTAATTAATGATTTAAAGAGGCTGCCAGATTATGTACATCAATTAAAAGTAGTCATAGGTTACCTTCTGTATTTCTGTCTTTTGACAATGTTTTTTTTACTGCTCATTATTTGTTAAAGGATTCTAAAATATCCTGTGGTTCATGTTTAAATTTAACATATTTAGAAAACATTATTGTTTTGTTTCTGTCTTGAAATGTAGGCCTATCTGTAAGGTAAGGCTGACTCACAGGCCCCTGTCTCCCTCTTGTATGTGCTCCCCAGCTTATCCGGAAGGAGGCTGACTTCCACGCCCCCCGCCTGCTGGACGAGAAGGAGATGAGGGCCAACGAGGACATGCAGCTGAAAAAGAAGAACAGGAAATCAGGAACGCCCTGTAAAGTGAGAGAGGAAGACGGGAGGGGAGGGAAGGTCAGTGTCTCTGAATTTTAAAGCAAAACAACTTCTCTCTGTGTGTTTCGGAGAGATTGTGTTATAAAAACGGACTGAAAGTGTGTTTGTGTGCATGTCTGTGGGCGTTTGGCTCTCTTTGTGCTTTTGTGAGTGTGAGACTGACTTTTTTTTGTCTCTCGCTGAGTTGGTGCTTTGAGTGTGCACATATTTTTTTTGTGGTGGGAGGAGTGCAGAGGAGATGTGGAGGGGGTGGGGTTCTCTGGAGAGGAAAGAGGGGGGAGGGGAACACAATAACTGTTATTGTGTTTGAGGGGGGAGCTGTAACGCGGGAGGGGGTTAACCCTTCTCTATGTTTTGTGTACCTAGTGCTTTAAATGGCCAAAATGGTCAAAACATTGTTTTAATCCTGTACTACCTTAATTTAGTTCTGCCTTTTAGGTTAGCACTGGCTTTTCTCATACTAAAACTATTGTATCATATGTTTCCTAAACAAAAGTGTGAGGGCATGCTTGTTGTGATGATTTAGTAGATGTTTGTTTGCAAGTTTTTTCTGTATGGTGTATTTAGGCCTACAATTTTATGCTGAGCCACTATTCTGTCATATCCTGCCTAGGTGGTTGTTGTGGATGAGAATGGGAACTGTCCAATATCCAAAGTGCAGAAAAACTTCATCTGTGATCACTGTTATGGAGCATTTAGGAGTGGATATCACCTGAAGAGACACATCCTCATTCATACAGGTATGTGTCCCAACCACAATGGCCAGCTAACTTCTGGAGGTTCTCCATTACCAGTTAGGGAGATGTTTAAAATGCTTAGCTAATACAGTAAGAAAATACATACAAGGCCCGCAGAAACACCAGTTTGGATTAAGTGACCAGTGATTTTAAGCTTATGAGATGGCCTCCTAAAAGAGATTGTCTAGTGTCAGATTTTGATTCACAGTTTTTGGTGTTCTCTCTGGGGACCTTTCACTAAAACTGGTACTCTTCGGTTTAGGGGAGAAGCCGTATGCTTGTGGCATATGTGACATGAGGTTTATTCAGCGTTACCACCTGGAGAGACACAGCCTCATTCACACGGGTATGCGTCTTCTTACCGTACCCATCTCTCACTAAACAGGCTACACCTGTAGTTCTGCACCGGAACCCCAGTATACAGGGTTTTCAGTGTTCTTTGTCATTTGGACAGTAATTTCCAACAAAGCTCAACATTCCTTTCACCTCAACTATGTGAAGGAGAGGGGTTATCATCACAAATGTACAATTGGGTCCCCCAACACCAATGAGCGTACAAATGAAAGGTCTATTTGGTACAAATGTTTATAGGTTGGCCATAGGAGGCTGTACAAAGGTCACATTTTTAGGACATTGTTGCTTTAGGTAGGTGAAGGTGTTGCTAGTTTAGCAGTAGCTTTTTGTGTGCAGTATGAGATTTTGAATAGAATTTACTGCATGGACATCAATCGACTCTGATTTTCTGAGACATTTTGTAATATTGGTAAGTAGACCATTTGAAGAGTGGCCTATACCCTCTTCTTCATTGGAAAATAAAACAATGCTTTACAAGTTTGCATTTTTATTTTAAAATGAAAACAATTTTCTTTAGATTTTAGGTATCTTATATTTGTGGAATTCTCATTTGACCAAAAGCGAGATACATATGGATCATAGTCAAGTATTATGGGTGTGTTCATCATTTGGCCATATGTTTATCCTTGTAAATCTAACCAATAATCCTACTGAAATTGATTTGAATTGACAGTTAGAAATTTGCAATTTGGAATAAAATATTTTTGTATTCTTCGCAGATTGAATAGCTAATATTTTTATGCTCTGTGTGTATAGGGGTGAAGCCGTACGCTTGTTCCATGTGTGACATGAGGTTTTTCCAGCGTTACCACCTGGAGAGACACAGCCTCACTCATACGGGTATGAGTCCTCTTTCCGTACCCATCTCACATAAAACAAGCGACCCATTTTACTCCTGTTTGTCATAGAGCAATGTGTTGAATGTAAAATTAAAAAGTCATACCATGGCAGTTGGCCAGCCTCGGGAGCTCAGGATGTGACAAAGATCTTTATGCTAGGGGCCTCCCGAGTGGCGCAGTGGTCTAAGGCACTGCATCGCAGTGCTAGCAGTGCCACTAGAGATCCTGGTTCGAATCCAGGCTCTGTCGTAGCTGGCCGCAACCGGGAGACCCATGGTGTGGCGCACAATTGGCCCAGCGTTGTCCAGGGTAGGGGAGGGTTTGGCCAGCAGGGATGTCTTTGTCCCATCGCGCTATAGCGACCCCTGTTGGGGGCCGGGCGCAGTGCACGCTAATTCGGTCACCAGGTGATATGGTGTTTCCTCCGACACAGCTGGCTTCCGGGTTAAGTGCGGCTCGGTTGGGTTGTGTTTCGGAGGACACACGACTCTCGACCTTTGCCTCTCCCGTGTCCGTCCGTACGGTTGCAGCGATGGGACAGGGACTGTAACTACTACCAATTGGATACCACGAAATTGGGGAGAAAAAAGGGGTAAAAACAAAAAAGATCTTTATGCTAGGACAAAAGCAATGTGTCATTCATATAGGTAGAAATGCAAACTTCCTATACAGTTACAGTGCGTTCAGAAAGTGTTCATACCCCTTGACTTATTCCACATATTGTTGCAGCCTGAATTCAACACTTATTAAATATATTTTTTTCTCACCCATCTACACACAAAACCCCATAATGACAGGTATAACATGTTTTTAGAAATGTTTGAAAATGTATTTAAAATTAAATAAGTAATATCTTATATTCATAAGTATGCACACCCCTGAGTCAATACATGTTAGAATCACCTTTTGCAGCGATTACAGCTGTGAGCCTTTCTGGGTAAGTCTCTAAGAGCTTTGCACACTTGGATTGTACAATATTTGCACATTGTTCTTCAAGCTTTGCCAAGTTGGGTGTTGATCATTGCTAGACAGCCATTTTCAAGTCTTGCCATAGATTTTCAAGACAATTTTAAGTAAAACTGTAACTAGGCCACTCCGGAACGTTCACCCTCTAACCCAACGATAAGCCTTGCTGTCCAATTTTTTTAATTAATCTTGCGCTGTTGGCGGTAGGTGCACCCGATTCAGCTGCCCTGCGCGCTGAGTAGGAGACATGTTCCCATTTTGAACCATTTAATGTCTGAAGGTATAATCATTCCATTCCCGGGGGGAGCAAATCAAGTGCACCATAGGCCTACCGCTGGCCAATCGGATCACTCAGATTGCTGTGTCTGCAGTAACGTAGCAGGTGTAAAATAATGCTACAGCAAAGTTGATACTGTGAGATTTCTAAACTTTTAAAACCATGACTAGAGCGAGATTCTCAGCGAATATAGCAAAGAGCTGCTGTTTTTATGAGTGAGTTCATTTTAAAGTTTTTACTCAGCACTGTCAACACTTTCTATTCAATACCTTTATAAGCCCTAAAATGTGCTTCTCCCTACTTCCATTCAGCGCTACAACCAGCTCTGCAGCTGCAATGAATGACTAGGAAAGTGTATAGATAGGCTTGGTCATAGGAGTAACAACATGAATTTGTGCATGAGGCGGTGCAACTCGAGTTTCGCCATTAGCTGGAAGATGGTGTCCCTTTTTGGTCAGTGGAAGAGAGAGCGGAAGGACGTTGAGAGGCGGACCCTTAGTCTGCTGCCCTCTCCCTCCGCTGAGACTGATCATAAGATACAGGCTCCATCAGCCCAGTGAAATAAAAAGCAAATTATTTAAACGTATGCTCACTTAGCTGTGTCTCACAAGTAATACAACAACTGCTCTATTACCGGTGTGATCATATAGCCTACCTCAAATGTTGAAATATAGATATTTTTTAATGGTCTGACAAGAACAACAATGCATTGGCAGGGCAATTCAAGCAAAGCTAATATGCGGTGATAATGTTTTGGGCCTATAGCCTACTGCACAAACCTCATTCCTACAGTATTGTTTTTAATAAGTTAATGTTGCAAAGGCTTACATTTTTTAAGTCCTGTTACAAAAAAATAAATGGTAGATCTCGGCTTGCATTTTGACTCAGTGATCTCGACTCAAAGGTTGGTGACCACTGCTCTATGATTGTGCCTGTGCTTAGCTCTATTCCGTTTCTTTTTATAAAAATAAAAAAAACTCCCTTGCCGATGACAAGCATACCAATAGCATGATGCAGCCAACGCGATGCTTGAAAATATGAAAAGTGGTACTCGGTGATGTGATGTGTTGGATTTGCCCCAAACATAACACTTTGTATTCAGGACATAAAGTTAATTTCTGTTTTGGAATATTTTTTATTCTGTACAGGCTTCCTTCTTTTCACTCTGTCATTTAGGTTAGCATTGTGGAGTAACTATATAATGTTGTTGATCCATCCTCAGTTTTCTCCTATCACAGCCATTAAACTCTGTAACTGTAAGTCACCATTGGCCTCGTGGTGAAGTCCCTGAGTGGTTTCCTTCCTCTCCGGCAATTGAGTTAGGAAGGACGCCTGTATCTTTATAGTGACTGGGTGTGTTGATACACCATCCAAAGTGTAATTAATAACTTCACCATGCTCAAACGGATATTTAATGTCTGCTTTTTATTTTATTTTTACCCATCTACCAATGGGTGCCCTTTGTGTGGCATTGGAAAACCTCCTTGGTCTTTGTGGTTGAATCTGTTTGAAATTCACTGCTCAACTGAGGGACATTACAGACAATTGTATGTGTGGGGTACAGAGATGAGGTAGTTTATTCAAAAATCATGTTAAACACTATTATTGCACACAGTGAGTCCAAGCAACTTATTATGTGACTTTTTAAGCACATTTTTACTCTTGAACCTATTTAGGCTTGCCATAACAAAGGGGTTGAATACTTATTGACTCAAGACATTTTAGCTTTTCATTTTTAATACATTTGTTTTTAAAATTCCAAGAACATAATTCCACTTTGGCATTATGGTGTATCGTGTGTAGGCCAGTGACACACAATCTCTATTTTAATTCATTCTAAAGTCAAGTGCTGTGAATACTTTCTGAAGGCACTGTATATGTATTTAGCAATTCTAGCACTTAAAATGTTTAAAACTATCAGACTCATGTGGCAAAAGTCAGTCTCTTGCCAACAGAGGGAATGGTCTCTTGATGTCCAAGCCTTGCACATGACTTACTGGTAGTTGTTCATGGCTAGGTAGCACAAATGTAATTGATAATGGCTTGAAGTTGGTACAGATTGTTACTGATGATTTTCATAGGTAAAAACAAGTGCCAAATAACTTATTTTGATGTCAGTGAAGGGTTTCCTCTTTCATTTAATTTGTTACACAAATTGCCAGCTAACATTTCTGTGGTAGATTCCCGATGTTTGTTGCTATTGAACCCAAATAGCTTGTGTTAATTAAACTTGATTGGGAATAAAACATTTTCTTGTTTTAACCTTAAATGCATGCTAGAGTGTTTGTCTTCAAGGGGTTAAGACATGGCAACAAACATTTTACCTCTAGTACTAATCAGTCCTTACATTTTTGTGAAATGTATATGGTTGTAGTTTGGGATTTGGGTATTGTTTTGTGTTCCACTTTATGCAATAGGAACACTAGCTAATATATTGATACTCTGTGTGCATAGGGGTGAAGCCGTATGCTTGCAACATGTGTGACATGAGATTCTTCCAGCGTTACCACCTGGCGAGACACAGCCTCACTCATACGGGTATAGGTCCGCACACCGTACCCTTCTTAACAATAGGTTATGACAGTGATGCTGCACTTAAGCGCCAATACACAGGTTTCTTATGTTGTACTTGCATAATCTGGCATAAAGCCACAACAAACTATGGTTTTAGAACTGCTTAACAATTTGTGGCTTTCAATTAACATCTCTGGATTCAAAAAAAATTCTAAACCTGTTTATGTTTTGACATTATGGGATATTGTGTCTAGATTGATGGGAGAAAAAACTATTTAATCAATTTTAGATTAAGGCTGTAACATAACAAAGTGGAAAAAGTCAAGGGGTCTGAATGCTTTCCGAATCAACTGTTGAATAATGGAATGTCTCAGTGCGAGCTTTGCATGGCTATTGTGACGTCTCAGATCATTTTCATTGCTGCCATTGTTCTGGCATGTCTGGCTTTCTTCGATGAGTGTTTAAAGGACTACTTAACCATAGGGCTAGATGCAGACTTTTCTAAAGTTGGTGCTCTGTGTGTGTAGGGGTGAAGCCATACGCTTGCTCCATGTGTGATCAAAGATTTTTCCAGCGTTACCACCTGGCGAGACACAGCCTCAAACATACGGGTATGGGTCCGCTCACCATACCCATCTCACATATGTAGGCTACACCAGGTACACCAGTGAAATAATCTCACATAAGAACATCGAGTTTGTATTGTTGCAAACAATTAAATATTGCAGATAGACTCCAAGAAGCTCTTTTATAGGAACAGCTTTATTTGTTTTTGCAATATTATGGACAAGTTTCACCGCTGCCACTACTTTAAAATAAAAATAAGTTTTTCAAAAATGTTGGTCCATATTTTGGTGTCTGGCACAATACAAACACAGTTAATACATGGATGATGTTCTTAAAACAAGCCTTATATACTCACATGACTGGTGTAAGTGCTCTTGGTTTATTTATTGACTGGTGCTCTGTGTGTATAGGGGTGAAGCCGTACGCTTGCTCCATGTGTGACATGAGGTTCTTCCAGCGTTATCACCTGTCGAGACACAGCCTCACTCATACGGGTATGGCGTCTGCTCACTGTTCCCTTATTACTCAGTGTATTTTTATTGGAGCTACTGACGCAACATTATTCAGTTGAATATACATGTTAAGTCCCCAACAGCCCCATGAATTGTCAAATGTTCTGACAAAACATATTTGTAGGGTTAGGCTACCTTTTTTAGCACTAAATTATACAGGAAATTCAGTGTTGGATGTCCTTCTGTTGGTAATCCCTTCTCAATGTGAATGGAATAAAGAGGCTTTGTTGGAAACTACTGTCCACTGGAAAGAAAAATCTAAAACTCCATGTTATTCAATATTAGAGAATGATGTGACCTGTTAAGAATGTGTTTTATACATCCGTGTTTTTTCTAGTCAGTGAACCAAATGTACCGGTAATTGCAAGTACTCTTAAGGGTAGAGACACACTTATGGTTTTTCATTGTATTTCCCCTATAAGTGATTTGTTTATACAATTGTTTAAATTGTAAAGCAGGAAATCCAGCATGTTAATGTCTAGAATAAAAAAATCAGGGAATGCATATTTTAAAACTGACAGAAAGATGGCTAATATTTGTCTGCTCTGTGTGTTTAGGAGTGAAGCCGTATGCTTGTTCCATGTGTGACATGAGGTTTATTCAGCGTTACCAACTGGAGAGACACAGCCTCACACATACGGGTATGTGTCCTCACTTTAAATCTCTCCCTCTCGCTTCAATCAGGCATTGCAGATGCCATGCATGAGCCCCACTGCAATGTGTGGTTAAATGTGTCCCCTATGTCATGTTGGGTATAATGGAATTTAATTCATACATATGGCTGCATCAAACTCGAGTTTGTATTGTTAAAGGCGTTTTATTTCAAAATCAAAGCCTTGTTTCCTGTCAGATCTTAGAGAAAGATGTTGAATATTGTTTTATGTAGGCAAAGATTTTCCAAGCTAACCTGTTTACAGAGGACTATGATAGATGTTTATCAAACCCTCAAATCATTGCACAACATTTGTAAATCGGCATCAGATCATGTTTAGAAATAAGGCTTGTTATAGTGAAACGAACAATTTTAATCAAGCCCCAGGTCCGATAAAATCTTTGAACCCCCATGTTGGAATTGAGCTTGAGGTCTCGCTAAGAGCCACAACTTTCGGCTGACTGCATTTAGTCTTTCAAAAAATGTCCTATGGAAGCAGTCTTTGATGGAGTTCAGGATAGCAGGAGAATCGGACAGCTTCAGGAGTTTGAGACGTCACAATAGCATGCCAAAAATCACATGGTTGTGTCAATGTGTTTTATGTTTAAATATGTACCAACTGCCTAAAATGTTCACATCTAATGTTCATATGAACAGCATGACGTGAAGCCATGTGTCCACCAGCATTTTCACCCAAAATTCTAACCTGACTCAGCAAAATTGCAATTGTTTTTAGCTAAACCATTGGTAGCTAGTAGCCACGCTTAGGCTACAACAGTGATTTTGCTGTGTATTATGGCGGTGTATTAGAGCATTACCTTTCTTCGCATTGCCCATTGAACATAAACTGCCCAATACTCATTGGGCACTTAAATCTAGTCCCAATTGGATTAGTAGATTGCACCTTTTTGACCAACCGCTGTAACAAGATTTTCTGTAAAAAAAAATTGGCTGGTGAACAAGACCAAAACTGTGCTAAGCTTATTTAGCTGCAGTAAAGGAATAATCCACTCAACAATCTTTTGGTATTTCTTTCATTAGTCCATTGTTGATACAGTCCCAAAATGTTTTGCATGTCAGCGATCAAGTTTTCAAGATATAGGACTTTCAAAAAGCAAATTGTTACTTGCCACATCATGGTGATGCAAAATGCTTCATATGATGCAAAACACTTCATCATGATTTTGTGGCAAGTGACAATTTTGCTTTTTGAAAGTCCTATTTCTTGAAAACTTGATTGCTGAAATGCAAAACATTTTGGGGCCATCAACAGTGCACGAATGGAAAAAATACCAAAAGCTATTTGAGTGGATTAGTCCTTAAAGATCGATCATTTTTGGCAGTTGAACCTTTTTATACTAAAGTTGGTGCTCTGTGTGTGTATAGGGGTGAAGCCATTTGGTTGCACCATGTGTGACAAGAGGTTCTTCCAGCGCTACCACCTGGCAAGACACAGCCTCACTCATATGGGTATGCACCCGCTCACCATATCCCTGTAATTAAACCCTAGTATACAGGGTTGGCAGGATTTATTAATTAGTCATGCACAAAGAAAAATATTGTTTGCAAGTTTGATATCTAAAAAAGTTCTTAATTTTATTTCCATTAAGGATGAGAAGGGTTAGTTTTGCCACCAGGTGACATCATCAGCTCATGTGATGTGTTATGGTTGTGGACTAAAGCTTTGGAAAAAAACATCAAATGTCTCACTTCATTGGGGGAAACGTTTTAAAAGATTTTTGTGAATTCGTATTACGTTGCGGCAAGTACTGAAATTAGTAGTTAACTACCAATTGATTTACCAGCCAAGTATATACATACCTAAACCTAAAAAATTCGAGGCACTGAAATAATATAATGATGCTCTGTGGGTTTAGGTGTGAAACCTTATGCTTGCACCCAGTGTAACATGAGGTTTGTTCAGCGCTACCACCTGGCGAGACACAGCCTCAAACATACGGGTATGGGTCCGCTCACCGTACCCTTCTCACATATAGAAACTAGTTAAGGATGTTAGTAAAAAATAGCACAGGCACACATTCAATAAAGATTTAAGACTTTGATCAGGTATTTGTTATGATAAATTAGTACTATATATTTGATAAATTTCTATGAATAATTATCGTGATTTGCAGTCCTTTACAAGTGAACTCCTTTGATGAAAAGTGTTGTATTGCTATGTTGTACTTGCGAAGTTCCCAGTAGAACTCGGTCATAAACCGCCACTAGAAAAACACTTTATTTTCGCAACTTTCGAAATTAAGCACTTTAAGAAGGCCTAGAACTACCACTAGATAATATCATCAGTTCATCTGTGTTGTATGAGATCATGAAGTGCAATTTCCTACGTTCTGAAGTCTGTGAATGGATGCCTTGTAAAATTGTGGTTAATCATAAATGAATTATGTTTCTTTCATTGGCTAATCCTACATTTGCACACCTTGCCAAAACCTTTTTGATAAACCCCAACAACCGCAAGCTATTAGATTCTAAACGGTGAATACTCTGGAAGTTATTGCATGGATCGACATCAGTGTTTTTATAAGATATCAATGAAGTATACAGTGCATTCGGAAAGTATTCAGACCCCTTGACTTTTTCCACATTTTGTTTACGGTACAGCCTTATTCTAAAATAGATTCAATAAAAACATTTCCTTATCAATCTACACACAATACCCCATACTGACAAAGTGAAAACAGGTTTTTAGATTTTTTAGCAAATATATTAAAGATCAGATACCTTATTTACATAAGTATTCAGACCCTTTGCTATGAGACTCGAAATTGAGCTAAGGTGCATCCTGTTTCCATTGATCATCCTTGAGATTTCTACAACTTGATTGGAGTCCACCTGTGGTAAATTCAATTGATTGGATGGGATTTGGAAAGGTACACACACGTCTATATAAGGTCCCATGTAGCTCAGTTGGTAGAGCTTGCAATGCCAGCGTTGTGGGTTCGATTCCCACGGGGGGCCAATATGATTTTTTATTTTTTTTAATGTATGCTATCACTAACTGTAAGTCGCTCTGGATAAGAGCGTCTGCTAAATGACTAAAATGTAAATATAAAATGTCCCACAGTTGACAGTGCATGTCAGAGCAAAAACCAAGCCATGATGTTGAAGGTATTGTCCGTAGAGCTCCGAGACCGGATTGTGTCGAGGCACAGATCTGGGGAAGGGTACCAAAAATGTCTGCAGCATTGAAGGTCCCCAAGAACATGGTGGCCTCCATCGTTCTTAAATGGAAGAAGTTTGGAACAACCAAGACTCTTCCTAGAGCTGGCCGCCCGGCCAAACAGAGCAATCGGGTGAGTAGGGCCTTGGTCAAGGAGGTGACCAAGAACCCAATGGTCATTCTGACAGAGCTCCAGAGTTTCTCTGTGGAGATGGGAGAACCTTCCAGAAGGACAACCATCTCTACAGCACTCCACCAATCAGGCCTTCATGGTAGAGTGGCGAGACGGAAGCCACTCTTCAGTAAAAGGCACATGACAGCCCGCTTGGAGTTTGCCAAAAGGCACCAAAAGGACGATGAGAAACAAGATTCTCTGGTCTGATGAAACCAAGATTGAACTCTTAGGCCTGAATTCCAAGTGTCACATCTGGAGGAAACCAGGCACCATCCCTATGGTGAAGCATGGTGGTGGCAGCATTATGCTGTGGGGATGTTTTTCAGGGACTTGGAGACTAGTCAGGATCGAGGGAAAGATGAACGGAGCAAAGTACAGAGAGCTCCTTCATGAAAACCTGCTCCATAGCGCTCAGGACCTGACTGGGGTGAAGGTTCACCTTCCATCAGGACAACAACCCTAAGCACACAGCCAAGACAATGCAGGAGTGGCTTCGGGACAAGTCTCTGAATGTCCTTCAGTGGCCTAGACAGAGCCCAGACTTGAACCAGATCGAACATCTCTGGAGAGACCTGAAAATAGCTGTGCAGCGACGCTCCCCATCCAACCTGACAGAGCTTGAGAGGATCTGCAGAGAGGAATGGGAGAAACTCCCCAAATACAGGTGTGCCAAGCTTGTAGCGTCATACCCAAGAAGACTCGAGGCTGTAATTGCTGCCAAAGGTGCTTCAACAAAGTACTGAGTAAATGTCATCAATTTAATCAATTTTAGAATAAGGCTTTAACGTAACAAAGTGGAAAAAGTCAAGGGGTCTGAATACTTTCCGAATGCACTGTAAATGTGTATATACCTGAACTTAATATTGGAAGAATTCAATTGACGGAGAGTGGACCATAAAAATAATATGATGTTCTGTGTGTGTATAGGGGTGAAGCCGTATGCTTGCACCATGTGTGACAAGAGGTTTTTCCAGCGAGACCATCTTCGGAGACACAGCGTCACTCATATGGGTATGGGTCCATTCTGGTATACAGGGTTGGAACGATTTAGCCTATATGCTAGCTACTGCACAAATCAAGGATGGCCACGAAAACAATTTGTTTATGATGAAAAACAATTTGGATTGTTGGTTAAATCACAATTGTGGAGATTTTTTATTTTGTGCTACCATATGAAAACCCCCAATCCTACTTCTTGAAATCCGCATGTTGATAACAATGTTGCTTTGTGGATATTGTTGATCGTACTGAATGTGGTGTGAAGTTTATGGTATTAGATTATGAACTTCTCATCATCCAAGTGCAATTTCTTGCATTCTCTGCTCTGTGGGTGACACCTAGTAAAATTGTCTCATCCTAAACAAAAATTGTTTTATTGGCCATCCTTAATTCGCACATCTTACCAACACCTTTTTTTTTTTAAATAGACCCCAACAACCGCAAGCTATTGAGGTGGTAGTGTAATCAGATTCTTCTTGGTGAATACCCTGGAAGTTATGGTGCGTTCGATTGCTGTCGGAAATTTAAAAATATGAGTTCACAACAAGTGTAGTTACAAGTGGTGGGAAACTTGGGCCAGTATAAAGATACCCGAATTTCTGAGTTGTGACATATCGTCCTTGAATTTTAAACTTTTTGACCAAATATGGTAAAGCAAAGCCATTTACAATAATGTAGCTAGTTTGACCCACACTGTCTGGTTTGACACATTGTCAATGTAAGCAAGCTCGCAATGTTGGTTCTTTGCCATCAAGCTGAAATGTCATTGGCTGAAGAATTTGTTCCGAGCGCTGACTTCAAAAGCGCTTGTATTCACTCGTCATATTTACGACTTCACCACTGTGCAATATAAGATCCCGAGAACCATTCGAACACACCACCATTGACATCGGTGGTTTATCAGAAATAAATGTATACACACCTAAGCTTAATTTTGGAGGACTTCAGTCGATGGAGAGTGAGACTTAAAAACAATATTTTCTGTGTGTACAGCGGTGAAGCCGTTCGCTTGCACCATGTGTGACAAGAGGTTTTTTGAGCGCCACCACCTGCGGAGACACAGCGTCACTCATATGGGTATGGGTCCATTCACCGTACCCTTGACATTAAGATCAGGCTACACCTGAACCACAGTATACAGAGTTGGCAGGGTTTAAATGCCAGCCACAGCGCAAATTAAGGATGGCCAAAAAAATATAACTAGTATATGATTCATGTTGGATAAATCATGGTTGTAGAGATATTCTTCAAATTTGTATTTTTACTTTTCTTTCAACTCGATAATATTTTAATTGAGCAAGTGTTACCAAAATTGATTTTCTTGCATCTCGTGGAAACACCTTAACGCACCCAATCCTGCTGCTTGAAATTAGCATGTTGATAACAATAACGCAGCTTGGTATTAATTGTTCGTAATACTGTATGTGGTGTGAAGGTAATGGTAAGAGATCACAAACTTGTCATCCAAGTGCAATTTCTTACATTCTTACATTTTGTTGGCCACCCTTAATTCACACACCTTGTCAACACCTTTTTGATAAAAAACCCAACAACCGCAAGCTATTGAGGTGGAGTATTTAGATTCCTCAGGGTAAATACCCTATAAGTTATTGACATCAGTGATTTTAATAGGAAATCAATGTAGTATAAATGTATATACCTGAACTTAATATTGGAAGACTTCACTCGATGAATAGTGAGGCATAAAAATAATATGATGTTCTGTGTGTATAGGGGTGAAGCCGTATGCTTGCACCATGTGTGACAAGAGGTTTTTTGAGCGCCACCGCCTGCGGAGACACAGCATTACTCATATGGGTATGGGTCCGTTCACCGTACCCTTGACATTAAGATCAGGCTACACCTAAACCCTAGTATACATACTCTCACGCACCAGACCCTTTACCCCCAAAGCTCGTAAGATCTGGAATACCATAGCGTCAAAAATTGCCTTCATTAACCCAATAGTAACAACGGGAGAAAGCCCTGGAAAATGTGGCTAGCTGCTTCAGTCCGTTCTGTCGTTTTTTTTTTTTTTTTTTTTGTTCGGATAGTTGGTTTTCCCCACAAGCGCTACACATTGACGACAGATTTTGACGATGTATAGCCTGCAGGTCTTCTGTATTTAGATAGCACACCACATGTTTCTGATTTGGAGCCACGCCTCACGTTGATTTGCTAAAATGAAATAATTACAAACACGTCACTTTCTAAATTCACTCTCACTAAGGCCAGATTTGAGTTGTTTGTGTACCACCGGCTCATACACCACATAATGTTTATATGCAGTCATTTTAGTATACAGTTATACCTGAACAATAATATTGACAGAGTGAGAAACAAAAATAATATGATGTTCTGTGTGTATAGGGGTGAAGCCGTATGCTTGCACCATGTGTGACAAGAGGTTTTTTCAGCGCCACCACCTGCGGAGACACAGCATCACTCATATGGGTATGGGTCCATTCACCGTACCCTTGACATTAAGATCAGGCTACACCTGAACCTGAGTATACAGGGGTGGCAGGATTTATATGCTAGTTATCATACACAAAGAAATGTGTAGATAAGATATATTATTTGATTATAGGTTGTATATGAAATTACATAATTTCCATACGTTTGGATGGACAGCAGTGGCTTTTAAATAATAACTAGCTTAAATAAAAAAACACAATATTGGAGTACTTCAGTGGATGGATTTTGAGAACTTAAGTAATATATTGTTTTGTGTGTGTATAGGGGTGAAGCCGTACGCTTGCACCATGTGTGACAAGAGGTTTTACCAGCGCCACCACCTAGCAAGACACAGCGTCACTCACATGGGTATGTCATTAAGGCTATTGGTGAAATGTTTGCATGTTAGGTTTGATATCCAAAACGCCCATAATTCCATTTCTCTTAAGGATGAGAAGGGCTAATATTACTTCCAGATGATGTCATCAGCTCATGTGATGTGTTTTGTTATTTGGGGAAAAACAACTACACCGACTGTTCGATAACTCGCACCTCAATAGCATGCGGCTTTGGATAACTTGCGTTATGTAATTGTTACGTGTATTTTCAACCCGAAAATATTTGAATTGAGCAAGTTATCATAATTTTTTTTTTATTGAAACCTTCACAAAAAGTAGTTGAAGTAGGTTTACCATCTGAAAACAGGTCAGTTCTGCTCTGTGAAAGTAGCTTGTTGATACCAAAATGGCACTCTGTGCATATTATTAGTTGTCCTGTATTCCGTGTGACGTGGTGTTTTAGGTATGAGATGGTGAACTTGTCATCAAGTGTGATTTTCTACATTCTGAACCCAGTGGATAGAAACCCTATATTTTCTACCATAATTAAAATTGTGTTCTATATAGATAACGCTTTATTGCTCAGCCTCAATTCACGCTATATAAAATAAATAAATGTATAACATTTAACTTGTGCTTTGTTGGACTCCAAAAACCACCGCGAGTTATCGAAGTGGCGGTGTAATTAAATTTCTTCAGTGTGAATCCTCTGTTATAATTGCATAGATTTACAACAGTGGTTAATAAACAATCAACGCATACACATTATATTCATCGATTCACACATCTTCAATGGATGGAGTGTGAAAAAGAAAAATAATACAATTTATGTTCTATGTGTGTATAGGAGTGAAGCCGTATGCTTGCACCATGTGTGACAAGAGGTTTTATCAGCGCCACCACCTGGCGAGACACAGCGTCACTCACATGGGTATGGGTCCACTCACTGTACTCCTGTCACTAAGACCAGGCTACACCTGAACCCCAGTATATAGGGTTGGCAGGACTTATAAGCTTGTCATGCACAAATAAATGTATAGGTGAAATGTATTGTTTTATATGTTAGGTTTAATATCCAAATAAGTCCAGAATGTAATTACCCTTAAGGATGAAGCTAATGTTACCTCCAGATGACATCAGCACGTGATTTGTTGTGGATAAAAGCATAAAGAATGTATTGGCTAGAAATTACATTGACCACTCAGTAACCCATGCCTCAGTAAATAAATAAAAAACGGATGGTTGAGGAGATGTCTTCCAGAATTGTATGTGTGTTTTCAAACCAGACAGTTATGATAAGTGTTATTGTAATGGATGTTATTGGAAACTGCAGAAACTGGTAAAGATTTATTAAATCTGAAAACACCCAATCCTGCTCAGTGTTACCGACTTGGCCACTTTGCACTAGAGTCACTAGATCTAGCAAAGTTTGGGATCCCTCCTCCCACTTTTGCCCCCTGAAAGTTACTAGGACAAATTCAGCAATATTAAAGGCATTCTCAGAGAGTTTGCCTCTGAGAGTTTTCAGGAATTAGCCTCCGGCTATGTGATGATCACATGCATTGCAATTTGGTGTCATCTAACAACTTCTAGTGACAAATTGTGCAGCCAATAGCTATTTTCCCCCAAAAAAGTTGGCAACACCGGTCATGTTGCGTGAAGGCAGAATGTTGATAATAGCCACGTGCATATTTTCAGTCCTGCTGTTTTTGTGCCTGAAGTTTATGGTAAACCTAATATTGGACGACATTAATATGGAGTGTGAGGCACAGCAGTAATGTATTGATGCTCTTGTGTGTGTGTGTGTGTGTGTGTGTGTGTGTAGGGGTGAAGCCGTACGGTTGCACCATGTGTGACAAGAGGTTTTACCAGCGTTACCTCCTGGCAAGACACAGCCTCACGCATTTGGGTATGGTCCGCTCACCGTACCCACCGTACCCAAGATCAGGCTACACCTGAACCCCAGTATACAGGGTTGGCAGAATTTATATGCTAGTTGTGATCAAATAAATATGTAGGTGAAATATGTTATTTTAGATGATCAGTTTGATACCCCAAAAAGTCCATAATGTAATTTATCTTAAGGATGGGAAGGGCTAGTTTTACAACCAGATGACATCAGCTCATGACATGTGTTGTGGTTGTGGACTAAAGCATTTAAAAAATGCATTAAACTTTATTGGGGAAAAATAACTACACTGACCACTCAGTAACTCATGCCTCAATAAGTTTCTAATTGGAATAACACACGGTTGTGGAGATGTCTTCCAAAATGTTAGGTGTATTTGCAAACCAGTTATGATAAATGTTATGGAATTGCTGTTATTGGAACTTGCAGAAACTCTTAAAGATGTCTACAATCTGAAAACACCCAATCCTGCTCAGTGTTGCCAACTTGGCCACTTTGCACTAGTCACTAGATCTTTTGGATCCCCCTCTCCTTTCCCCCTAAAAGTGACTAAGGAATATTCAGCAACATTTAAGGAATTCTCAGAGTTTTACCTCTGAGAGTTTTCAGAATGTCAGTGACTTGCCTGCGGTGAATTTGCCTAGTCAGAACAGCAGCATACACACTCACTGTGCTGATGATCACATGCCTTACACATTTGTGTTGTGACATTATCACGCAAATACATTTTCTACTTCATCTACAATTTCTAGTGAAATATTGCGCTACCAATAGCTGTTTGCGTTCCCCACAAAAAGTTGGCAACACCAGTCCTGTTGCGTGAAGGCAGAATGTTGATAATAACAGCACCTGGTGCATATTGTCTGTTGTGCTGTATTTGTGTCTGAAATCTATGGTAAACCTAATAGTGGAAGACTAACAAGAGGTACGAAGTAATGTATTGATGCGCTTGTGTGTGTGTGTGTGTGTGTGTGTGTGTGTGTGTGTGTATAGGGGTGAAGCCGTACGGTTGCACCATGTGTGACAAGAGGTTTTACCAACGATACCACCTCTCAAGACACAGCCTCACGCATTTGGGTATGGGTCCGTTCACCGTACCCACTGTACCCAAGATCAGGCCACACCTGAACCCTTGTATACAGGGTTGGCAGGATGTATATGCTAGTCATCATGCACAAAGAAATATAGGTGAAGTATTGTTTTCAAGTTAGGTTTGATTTCCAGAAGAGTTTGGATGAGAAGGGATAGTTTTACAATTAGATTACAATCATCAGCTCATGTGATGTGTTGTGGCTGTGGACTAAAGCATTGTAAAAAAAATTGTTGGAGGAACATCTCCCTTATTCTTCCACCTGAATCCCCTGTAAATTATTGCATGGATTGAAATGAGTGGTTAAATCATTTTAGCATAAATGGATATACTGTACTTAAACTTCCTATTGGACTTAAATTGGAGTGTGAGGAACAAAAGTAATATCTCAATGCTCTGTGCATTTAGGTGTGAAACCTTACGCTTGCACCATGTGTGACATGAGGTTTGTTCAGCGCTACCACCTGACAAGACACAGCCTCACTCATACGGGTATGGGCCCGCTCACCGTACCCATCACACATATACAATCTAGTAAAGGATGTTAGTAATGGATTTTCACAGATAAAAGTAACGAAAGACTTCTAGAAAATATCAGTTTCTCATCTACATCGTTTTGTAACGAGGAATTAGTATTTTGTTGATTTATGTTTTAAACACTGCAGCAACACTAATATTTGTAATACATTCTAGTACAAGTTCCATATTATCTACTTCTAAAATTATGTTTAAAGCTAGACCCCTAAAGATCTTCTTCAGCTAATTGCGAATGTAGCTATCATTTGGATGTCGCGATAATAATACATAATTTATAAAAAATAATGAAATCTTTCCAACTATTCCCAACATGGCTTGACCAGGCACTTCCATGTAGGCTTAAATAATCTATATAACAATGTAACATCTTAGGCTTGTTGTGAGATTGTCTGGAGCTAAGTAGCTAGTGCTATGATCGTATAGTGAACATTTTTGTTGAAACTTGTAACTACAACTAAGATTGTCTAATGGTTAGTTTTCAACGTTGGCACAAATGGTTATTTAGCAATATTTAGTTTACGATATTTGGCTTTCTGGCTAGTTATTTTTGCGGTGGCTTTGACACCACAAATACGTTCTGCAATGGCTTTGGCACACAATTCCGGATTTTATCCAGTGCTTAGTTTACAATTGCATGCACTGATTGTTCTTATCTAGCTACTCGTGTTTTTTGATGCAACAATTAAATATCAAAAGTAGTCTTCATTAGAGCTGATAAAACAAGTTAGATTGCAACATCTTCTCATCCTTGTAATAGATAGCCCACATTGTGATATGACACGAAGCACTCTTACTGTAATTGTAACATGCTTATGGTAGCAAACATTTCTCTCACAATAGTATTTGTGGAGCTAGCTTGAGCTCTTTAGGTTTTGCTTGTGTTGTACTCTTTGGAGAAAGAGAGCTAATGCATTGCTCTGTGTGTATAGGGGTGAAGCCGTATGCTTGTTCCATGTGTGACATGAGGTTTATTCAGCGTAACCACCTGGAGAGACACAGCCACACTCATACGGGTATGCGCCCATTTACCGTACCCTTATCCCAAAGAAAGGCTATTTTAATAAAAACAAATACGACCACAACAAACTCGAGTTTGGATTGTCAAGTCATTTGATGGGATGTTGAACCAGCCTCAAACTATCAAGTAAAACGTTTCAGGGCATCGAGTTGGTATGATGAATAAAACAAAATCAGAGATTCCACTCTAATCTACACATAATGAGTTGATGACAAAACATCTTCAAATGTTACCGGAAGTTTAGCTTCTTATCCTCAATTCCTGTCCAGAAACTGGCTCATATTCAGTAGTTTGACTTAGTTTTGTTGACATGAGAACTAAAGAAACCTAGTTTCCCATCGCTTTAACAAACATTTGTAGATGCAGTTAATGTAACCAGTAGACTTTAGTAAGAGTAAATAATGTACAGTTTGTGGTTCGTCTCTGTGGATTTGATGTGATGAATCTGTTTGTGTGCTCTTTTAGGGGAGAAGCCGTTTGCTTGTGACATGTGTGACATGAGGTTTATCCAGCGTTACCATCTGGAGAGACACAAGCGTGTCCACAGCGGAGAGAAGCCTTATCAGTGTGAGCGCTGCCAGCAGGTAAGAGAGCTTGCGCACACACAGATGTGCACGCCTGTGCACATACACACGGCCGCACGCATTGGAAAGATGCCTTCTCAGTGTGAGCAGTGCCAGCACGTAAAATAACATGCCTTACGTGCTGGTACTGAGGAACACATGCACACGTAGACACACATGGAAATGCCCTCTTCACAAAACATCTGCCGCAGGGTGAGCAGTGCCAGCTCTTAGCAGAATGTTCTCACAGAAGCACACATACACTACCGTTCAAAAGTTTGGGGTCACTTAGAAATGTCCTTGTTTTCGAAAGAAAAGCAATTTTTTTTGTCCATTTTAAAATAACATCAAATTGATCAGAAATACAGTGTAGACATTGTTAATGTTGTAAATGGCTATTGTAGCTGGAAACGGCTGATTTTTTTTATGGAATATCTACATAGGCGTACAGATGCCCATTATCAGCAACCATCAGTCCTGTGTTCCAATGGGACATTGTGTTTGCTAATCCAAGTCTATCATTTTAAAAGGCTAATTGATCATTAGAAAACCCTTTTGCAATTATGTTAGCACATCTGAAAACTGTTGTGCTGATTAAAGAAGCAATACAACTGGCCTTCTTGAGACTAGTTGAGTATCTGGAGCATCAGCAATTGTGGGTTCGATTACAGGCTCAAAATGGCCAGAAACAAAGAACTTTCTTCTGAAACTCGTCAGTCTATTCTTGTTCTGAGAAATGAAGGCTATTCCATGCGAGAAATTGCCAAGGAACTGAAGACCTCGTACAACACTGTGTACTACTCCCTTCACAGAACAGCGCAAACTGGCTCTAACCAGAATAGAAAGAGTAGTGGGAGGCCCCGGTGCACAACTGAGCAAGATGACAAATACATTAGTGTCTAGTTTGAGAAACAGACGCCTCACAGGTCCTCAACTGGCAGCGTCATTAAATAGTACCCGCAAAACACCAGTCTCAACGTCAACAGTGAAGAGGCGACTCCAGGATGCTGACCTTCTAGGCAGAGTTGCAAAGAAAAAGCAATGTCTCAGAATGGCCAATAAAAAGAAAAGATTAAGATGGGCAGTCTTAGACATGGCTTTTTCTTTGCAACTCTGCCTAGAAGGTCAGCATCCCAGAGTCGCCTCTTCACTGTTGATGTTGAGACTGGTGTTTTCTGGGTACTATTTAATGAAGCTGCCAGTTGAGGACCTGTGAGGCGCCTGTTTCTCAAACTAGACACTAATGTACACTACTCAAAAAAATAAAGGGAACACTTAAACAACACAATGTAACTCCAAGTCAATCACACTTCTGTGAAATCAACCTGTCCACTTAGGAAGCAACACTGATTGACAATACATTTTACATGCTGTTGTGCAAATGGAATAGACAACAGGTGGAAATTATAGGCAATTAGCAAGACCCCCCCCAATAAAGGACTGGTTTTGCAGGTGGTGACCACAGACTACTTCTCAGTTCCTATGCTTCCTGGCTGATGTTTTGGTCACTTTTGAATGCTGGCGGTGCTTTCACTCTAGTGGTAGCATGAGACTGAGTCTACAACCCACACAAGTGGCTCAGGTAGTGCAGCTCATCCAGGATGGCACATCAATGCGAGCTGTGGCAAGAAGGTTTGCTGTGTCTGTCAGCGTAGTGTCCAGAGCATGGAGGCGCTACCAGGAGACAGGCCAGTACATCAGGAGACGTGGAGGAGGCCGTAGGAGGGCAACAACCCAGCAGCAGGATTGCTACCTCCGCCTTTGTGCAAGGAGGAGCAGGAGGAGCACTGCCAGAGCCCTGCAATATGACCTCCAGCAGGCCACAAATGTGCATGTGTCTGCTCAAACGGTCAGAAACAGACTCCATGAGGGTGGTATGAGGGCCCGACGTCCACAGGTGGGGGTTGTGCTTACAGCCCAACACCGTGCAGGACGTTTGGCATTTGCCAGAGAACACCAAGATTGGCAAATTCGCCACTGGTGCCCTGTGCGCTTCACAGATGAAAGCAGGTTCACACTGAGCTCGTGACAGACGTGACAGAGTCTGGAGACGCCGTGGAGAACGTTCTGCTGCCTGCAACATCCTCCAGCATGACCGGTTTGGCGGTGGGTCAGTCATGGTGTGGAGTGGCATTTCTTTGGGGGGCTGCACAGCCCTCCATGTGCTCGCCAGAGGTAGCCTGACTGCCATTAGGTACCGAGATGAGATCCTCAGACCCCTTGTGAGACCATATGCTGGTGCGGTTGGCCCTGGGTTCCTCCTAATGCTAGACCTCGTGGCTGGAGTGTGTCAGCAGTTCCTGCAAGAGGAAGGCATTGATCCTATGGACTGGCCCGCCCGTTCCCCAGACCTGAATCCAATTGAGCACATCTGGGACATCATGTCTCGCTCCATCCACCGACACCACGTTGCACCACAGACTGTCCAGGAGTTGGCGGATGCTTTAGTCCAGGTCTGGGAGGAGATCCCTCAGGAGACCATCCGCCACCTCATCAGGAGCATGCCCAGGTGTTGTAGGGAGGTCATACAGGCACGTGGAGGCCACACACACTACTGAGCCTCATTTTGACTTGTTTTAAGGACATTACATCAAAGTTGGATTAGCCTGTAGTGTGGTTTTCCACTTTAATTATGAGGGTGACTCCAAATCCAGACCTCCATGGGTTGCTAAATTTGATTTCCATTGATAATTTTTGTGTGATTTTGTTGTCAGCACATTCAACTATGTAAAGAAATTATTTAATACGATTATTTCATTCATTCAGATCTAGGATGTGTTATTTTAGTGTTCCCTTAATTTTCTTGAGCAGTGTATTTGTCCTCTTGCTCAGTTGTGCACTGGGGCCTCCCACTCCTCTTTCTATTCTGGTTAGAGCCTGTTTGCGCTGTTCTGTGAAGGGAGTAGAACACAGCGTTGTACAAGATCTTCAGTTTCTTGGCAATTTCTCGCATGGAATAGCCTTCATTTCTCAGAACAAGAATAGACTGCTGATGCTCCAGATACTCAACTAGTCTCAAGAAGGCCAGTTTTATTACTTCTTTAATGAGCACAACAGTTTTCAGCTGTGCTAACATTATTGCAAAAGGGTTTTCTATTGATCAATTAGCCTTTTAAAATGATAAACTTGGATTAGCAAACACAACGTGCCACTGGAACACAGGACTGATGGCTGCTGATAATGGGCTTCTGTACGCCTATGTAGATATTCCATTAAAAATCAGCTGTTTCCAGCTATAAAAGCCATTTACAACATTAGCAATGTCTACACTGTATTTCTGATCAATTTGATGTTATTTTAATGGACAAAAAAATTGCTTTTCTTTTGAAAACAAGGACATTTCTAAGTGACCCCAAACTTTGGAACGGTAGTGTACATGCTGATACAGGCACGCATCATACCCACGCAGCACTTGTAGCAAAGACATGCCCTACCAGGTTAGAAAATTACTTTTTAAGGGCGAGCAGTGCACATACTCTGACAGGCGCACACACGCCTACATGCACCAGAAAGTCTGATTGACCAAACGGACACAGTGGGCTTAATTGTATTGGGCATGTGTCCACACATTCATCTGTTTAAATGAATGCTGAATAAATCCTCCTCTATTTATGTGTTGTAGAACTTCTCGCGGACGGACCGGCTGCTTCGACATCGGCGGCTGTGCCAGGGTCGGGGTGTGGCCAAGGTGGAGAACCAGCCCTGCTGCGAGCCCCGCCCTTACTCCCAGGAGCCCCCACCCGCTCCACCAACTTGGAGCCCCCTGCACCCCCCTCCTGGTCGGCTGGCTGTCTGACTGACATTCCCCCCACCCCCATCCTCCCTCAATACATATACACACACACATGACCACCACCTCCCCAGAGAGACAGGACAGGCCACATGGTCTCTGTCACTCAGCCCTGCGCTCAGTGGCCACACTCTTGCAAAGACTGATCCTGCAGCTCCAGTCCTGAGGTTACTATGACAGAGGGATAAATACAGGTAACTACCAAAATAAAGGAAACACTTGAGTAAATGAGGGATACAAAGTATATTGAAAGCAGGTGATTCCACACAGGTGTGGTTCCTGACTTAATTAACATCCCATCATCCTTAGGGTCATGTGTAAAAATGCCCAGTTGCCCATTATTTTGGCTACCATGGCTAGAAGGAGAGATCTGTGACTTTGAAATGAGTCTCAAAGGAGCATAGGGGGTTTAAAGGGTGTGTGTGTGTGTGTCTGTGTCTGTCACCAGATCCCAACCCAATTGAACACTTGTGGGAGATTCTGTGGCAGCACCTGAGACAGCATTTTCCTCCACCATCAACAAAACACCAAAAGATGGAATTTTACATGAAAAAATGGTGTCTCATCCCTCCAATAGAGTTCCAGCACTTGTAGAATCCATGCCAAGGTGCATTGATGCTGTTCTGGCTCGTGGTGACCCAACACCCTATTAAGACACTTTATGTTGGTGTTTCCTTTATTTTAGCAGTTACCTGTATGTTTTATTTGTTATGTTTTGTTCTTTTGAGAGCGAGTTTCCTTCGATAGTTGGTCTATTTTGTTCTTAATATATCAGATCCTTTCTCAAAGTTAAGTTTTGTAATATTATTTAGGTTTGTTTGTGCTCTTGGTGGTACTCTTGGGGAGGGTTGGGGGGTTACTGTTTGTCATTACACCATGGTAATGATGAACTGGTGATATATATATATACATGAATATATAACAATATACAACAGAGGATGTCTGTGGAAAATGTAGAATATGTACTTTGTGAAAGGAAAAAAATCAAAAGTTGTCAGACAATGGTACAGGTGTCAGAACTGTAAAAGAAAATGGGGTTCCATATAGTTAATTTAGGACCATATAAGCAAGTCCTAACAGGTCATAGGTGAAGGGTCCGGTCAGAGGATGTTTTATTGGATAGAGATGTGCTGATGACTCAGGAAGTGGCATAGGCAGGATGACAGTGTTACCTTGTCCCATTACACCCTTTATCGGTGTATGTATGTACAGAGGTCTATGGGAGAAGGTCGCAGGCTCTCTTTCACAGTCAGTTCCTATACAGATGTACGTGGAAAACAACGGCACAAGATGGCAGCTTCAGCAAGTCCCATTACTTTGTGTTTGTACAGATCCTCATGTTGAGAGGATAGCAGGAGGTATACAAAATCTTGTGGCCTTAGAGCGTGCTTATTTTTTATATGTTTTGTATTTTATTCATTTGTCTTTTTGTTTTTTGAATTAATGGTTTTATTATTATTATCTGATACGATTATAAGGACGAGCCACTGCCTTTTACAAGCGGGGTATATTTTTCCAAAGCTGTCACCCTTATAGAACACTGCTTACTGCAATGGCGCTATAAGGCACAGGCTAAAAATCCTTCCTCTGTTCTTTGAGATAATTGATATAGTGCTGGTTATTATTGTTAATAATGTAACCCCTTGTGTAATCATTCAGGAACCCCGGGAGTTTGACAATTCCAGTGAGATGCTAATAGTGCTAATTTCAGTCAGGCAGTGCTTTGGCCAGCTACAGGCCATACCGATCATTTTGTCATAGCTAAGTCAACAATTGCTTCACTTCACTACACACTAACAAATGCCTTTTACTGAGTTATGTGGGGTAGGTGTGTATAAAGGATTTCTGATATGTTATTTCTGGGGTTAGCCTTAACCCAAATAAGATCTGACTTAAATAAGTGTAGTGCTAAATGATATTGTAATGAATGACTCTGTAACATGTAACAAACTTTTAAACATGTCTGTGGTTTACCCCCTCCAAGTGTAATGGCTACAGAGCACAGAGATGCTCTAGGCAATGTCTACCTACTCTGACATGTATCTCTTTCTATCCGGGTTAGTCAGTGGGTCTATTGGTGGTGGTCCACAGCAGCCTGTCTGTGGGCTAGTAAAGCAGCTTAGGGGAGGATCTCTGAAACCTGGTCCTGAGGACCCCCCATGTGTGCTGGACTTCACTTCAACCCAATCATTGAATTTAATGAATGTTTCTCTATATCACCAGGCTACTACTGTTAGTGAAACAATGTACTTTTGTTTATTTAGTAATGCCATATGTATATTCCAGAAATGTTGCGATGTACAGTCGGCAGTAGTGAAGAGCTTGAACTGTTAAATTATGCCTGAGTGATTTAGATGATGCCATCCAGCAAACACAGGTGTTTCCTAGTACCAGGGTTGAGAAACTGCAGCTTACTGTATGATTTGGCAAGCCCATTCCCCAAGAAATGTGTGAAGGATGCCACCAGTAACCACGACTGCCCACCAGTGAGGCCACAGGGCAAGGCAGGTTGCCATTAACTTTTAAATCCCTCTGTTGTTCTTGTCTTTTAAGTATTGTTATGAATCTTATCATGGTGAAAATGCAATAGAATCTTTGTCTGATCAGTTAATACAGTGAGATTTTCTTTTCTTCTAAGCATCAGACAAAGGATGGAGCGGTTAGAGAAGAGCGCTTCTCTCTCTTCCCCATCGCATTTGACGATTCTGTTAATGTTTCAAGGACCTTTTTCTATTCCTGATAATATTGTAAACACTGGAGTGATGAAAACAAAAGACAAAAAACATGGAATATGGATATTTTTCTTTTTCAAGTCAGTACTAGATATTAGTCTTTAGACAGAGCCTCTTACTCCTCAACTTGACAAAGAAGATGGACAGAACCATTTGGATCAGTACTGTATTGACAGCCCAGGGCATCTAGTAATTTAAAGATTAGAGGCGGTAGTACCTCAAGACAATGACTGTTTTCATACAAATCCCCTTCTATTTGTAGTAAATTATATTGCTAGAGGTAAGCAACAGCATCTACAGTAGCTATCACAGGTTAGTATTTTCTTTGTCTTTATTAGTCTTGCATGCAGTTATGGTCCTCAGTTAAAATAGGATCTTATATTGATTATTCTTTTGTGTAGGCAAAATAAGTGCATAAAAAATAAATAAATAAAACCTTGTGATCCAGTTAGGGGAGAGGCTTCTTACCATTATGCTGAAATAAAATACTTTATAAAAGACTTGTTTTGTGTCCTCCGTTTTAGTCGCAACAGCCCTGTCTGGGATTGATAGCGTGATGGGGAGTGTATGCATATGTGTCCTCAGGAGGGTGCCAAAGTTGAGAGGAAATATGAGACGTGCACAGGATGATTATAAGGAATCTACAATATGACACTGACTAGCCTGAGTGCCAGTATGTGCTATCATGCCAACTTGTCACTCATTGTCATGCCAAACATGTTTGACTTGACAATGAGCAATGGACTTGGCAAGAGCACAAACAGATCTGGGACCGGGGTAATATGACACCACTATCTGGCTAAAATTGGTTCTTTGGGGTTTTATTGAATCATTGCTATGCTTAGTTACATACTCCTCATTAGGTCTGATATTTAAAAAAGACAAATCTGACGCTGATCCAAAAATGTAACTGGGATGACTTGTGGTGATAATTGTCCTATAGAGACCCTACCACAAGCAGTAGTTGGTGTCCATGTGTTGGCATGAATTCGAAGGGCATAGTTGATATAACTGCTCCCCATTTCTTGAAGTCAAATTAAATGGCCCACCTTGCATTAAATTAAACTGTTTGCAGTGATCCAGAAGTGATTTTGAATGTATTTCCCCAGAAACACTGACCTTGGTCCTCTGTCCTGTCCACACCACATCCCCCTCAAACAATCAACACCTGCGGAGGAGGAGGGCTGATCATAATGAGATGGCAGGGAGGAGGAGAAGGACGGAAGCATGGAGTTAGTCAGGGGTGTCCTACTCTAAGGCCTGCTTATTTAACCTTTATTTTGATAGGGAGTCAATGCTGAGACCAAGTTCTATTTTCCAGATGAGCCCTGTTCAGCACAACGATACACATCAAACTACAAATCCATATACACATTAAAATACACATCTCATTCCAAAATCATGGGCATTAATATGGAGTTGATCCCCCCCACTCTTCTGGGAAGGCTTTCCACTAGACGTTGGAACATTGCTGCAGGGACTTGCTTCCATTCAGCCACAAGAGCATTCGTGAGGTCAGGCACTGATGTGCGATTAGGCCTGCACCAAACTCACACACCATTTCTGTATGGACCTCGCTTTGTGCACGGGGGCGTTGTCATGCTGAAACAGGAATGGGCCTTTCCCAAACTGTTGCCACAAAGTTGGAAGCACAGAATTGTCTAGAATGTCATTGTATGCTGTAGCGTTAAGATTTCCCTTCACTGGAAGTAAGGGGCCTAGCCCAAACCATTATTCCTTTTCCACCAAACTTTACAATTGGCACTGGGCATTCAGGAAATGTCTAGCGTTCTCTTGGCATCCGCCAAACCCAGATTAGTCCAACAGACTGCTGCCAGATGGTGAAGCGTGATTCATCACTGCAGAGAACTCGTTTCCACTGCTCCAGAGTCCAATGGCGGCAAGCTTTACACCACTCCAGCCAACGCTTGGCATTGCGCATGGTAATCTTAGGCTTGTGTGCGGCTGCTCGGCCATGGAAACACATTTCATGAAGCTCCCGACGAACAGTTCTTGTGCTGACGTTGCTTCCAGAGGCAATTAGGAACTCGTTAGTGAGTGTTGCAAGATACATTTTCCGTGCTTCAGCACTCAGCGGTCCCGTTCTGTGAGCTTGTGTGGCCTACCACTTCGCGGTTGAGCCGTTGTTGCTCCTAGACATTTCCACTTCACAATAACAGCACTTACAGGGCAGAAATTTGACGAAATGACTTGTTGGAAAGGTGGCATCCTATGACGGTGCCACATTGAAAGTCACTGAGCTCTTCAGTAAGG